CACTTAGAGAGGTATTGCACTTATGGAGGGTGAAATGCTTATATAGCTTATAAACTTGGGACTGAACCAGACTTTGCACTTAGGGGGGTTGCACTTAGGGAGGTCCCACTGTATTTGGACATCAACAAAGTAGCCTGTGCACAACTATAAAATTGCTTGAGGTAGGTTGTATGAAAAGTGGGTAATACTCATATCTTCGAACAACTTTAGTACGCAAGCGTTTGCAAAAAGCAAATATTAATATAGATACATTAAGGCTTGTCCGAACAAAAGAAATAGATACACCTACCATCGTACTATATATGACACTGACGACAAAATTATAATTTGCTTGTTTCAGCATTGAAAATTTGGAACTTAATATTTTACAACATCTATTATGGCTATTTGTAATTTCAAGCTTATGAGTTACATGTTCGAAAGTAATATCTATTAAAGCAAATGTATTAAAAAACGCCGCTCAATTTGAACAACCTGTTAAAATAGCGCTGTTTTTTGTATATTAATATACAATTAGTTTAAGATATAATGTTGGATAATACGTATTAAATTAATGCACTATTTTAGAAACCAAATACTAGCGACAGCCAGTGCATTATTTAAATTAATCAATATTTATTAGTCTTTCCAACTTAAGTTATTTTATATCTTAATATTTAATGCTATTAAATTAATACTTTACTAGTAATTGAGAAAGCAAATGCCATATGTGCAGTCAGTTATAAACATTATTATAAAGTCTTTTTGAATCGTAGATAGTGGATTTATTAAAAATCCCCCTGTTCATTCTGTTCCGTTCCAAATTTGTATCAGTCAATCAAAATCAGTGAGAATTGAAGACAAATTTTGTGTTTCTCCATTACACATATTACTCCGTTGTTTTTCTTTCCACCCCAAGACTTCAAGCGTTATTCTTTGCAAAAACACATATTTCCGAAAGCCATTAGAGCCCTGTCTTACAACACAACTTGTTATTTTTTTACACTTTTTAATAAAACTTTGCGTGGGGATGGAACAAACGAACGTGCAAAATTTTTGGTCCAATCCGTTCCAATCATGTGATTTTTAATCCCGGCAATCAGGGGACACAAATTGGAAGAAAAAGATGTTATATCGTAATTAGATCAAGTCACGCTCCTGCTTATTAATCTCTACAACCTTTTAAATTAACAATTATGTTTTATTGTTTCTGCATATTTATACCTAATTATAGATACGCCAGTAAAAATGAGACATAGTTGACAAGACAATTGTTTTGAAAACAATTATATATTCTATTATTACTCACCTGCACGTTACCATTATATTTATATTAATTTATCAATCAGAAGCTATAAATAAAGTTCGTTGCGTATCGTCTTTATTAGGTACATCTCTCAAAACTTGCAAGTTGGGTATAATTATAAAGTTTTCTTTAGTATGCCGGTTTTTTACTTTTTGCGATATTTTGTTAATAATACAACTGGAGTGTTCGAACAGGCGGGCCAACCCCAAACGCAAGTTTTCCCTTATTTCCACAAATCTATTCTGTTTCTAATGTCTTATCTGTGTTGATTGTGTTTGACTTGACGGCTTTACTCTGTTTCGTTTACCATTCAAAGTTCAAATTAGGAATTTTATAAATGTTCTGTTAATGATTGGGCTGCTGCGGAAGACAAAAAAGTTATATAATAATAAGATTACTGGTGACCGTACCCACAATTTAAAAATGCAAATCCGGATTATTATTACTTTAGTGATTGTATATGTAAGTTATATCAAACGCTTATACATTGTAATTTATTTTCTAAATCGTTCTTATATATCTTAGTTAAATGTATATACGATAAATGCACAACCATCAAGTGGCATAATTTCACTTTCGCAAGGGAGTACTTGGGTTTTTTGTTCAAAAATTCCCACTACTAGATTAAGTGAGTATAACTTATTTATACTCAGAATATGAATAAAAACATCTATATTAATTCTTTCAAATTTAGATTATTCTATAGATGTGCATAATGGATTAACTCCAACAGCCAATTTTGGTTTCATTTTGACCAAAAGTTTCGTGCCAATTCCCGCTGGATGTGTAAATGGTATCGTTACTCATATCCTCACAGCAACGGAAATTCTTGAGGATCTCGGGGACAACACAAATTTTGTTTTTGAAGACCAATTGTCATGTGCTACGGAATGCGTTGAACACTGTGATGGAAGCACTACAACTTTTCAGAATAACAATTGGTGTCTTATGGTGTCTAGCCCCCCAACTTCATCTACACTCTTCTATGTTACGGTGACATATAAAGATCAAGATCCTCCTCCACCATCATCTTCACAGCCACAGCTTAACGGAAATGGAAAGGTTAAATGGAATAGAGAGTTTATTTTTGGTCTTCTATTAATGTATATCATTGGGTATTTGTTCGAGATCCGTTAGAGTTTACAAATAAAAATTCATTGTTAACCTCTAAATGAACAATTTATGGAGGGAAATTCCGATTGAATTGTTCCTTGTATTTGTGCAACCACCCATTGTCTCAGGTCTTTTGTTAGAAATCATACCCCCTTTTGTTTCGTAAATGGTAAATGTCAATTTGTGAATGAATGGTCAGCTGATCAGTTGATAGTGGATTTCGTCTGTTTGTTTATTTGCATCCTAAGAGTTATTTAAACGAACCACAAGCGATCGATTCAGAATGGTATCTATCTTGTTAATAGAATTGGACTCATGAATCCACAAAACGGCAAATTATAATGCAGAATATGGTCTGGAATACCTTGGTATTATTGTTGTTCGCTATGGTATGAAAAAAAATTATTGAATATTATAAAGTTTGATGTCTTCAGCTGTACTTATTAGTGAATGTTATATAAGATTGTCGTTATAAAAGGTGATACTCATATAGGGACCATTGTTCTCCTTCCGCTCTCATCATGGTTTATGTGCTCAAGCGTGCCGACAAGCGCTTTAAAATATCTTGTTGTAGTTTCTGAAGAACCATTACAGGATACAGCTAACTTTGGATATTTCCTCAGTAATCATCCATTTTATTTTTCGGCGGAACCATGTTTTACGGGTATCCTCGCTAACGCCATGCCTGCGATTAACCTGGTGGAAGATATTGGCGTCAATACAACATTCCTATCATGGAAGTCGATATCATGTTACGACGAATGTGTATCGACTTGTCAAAAAACTGATAATGGTTTGAATTTTACGAGCTGGTGTTTATTAGTAAGCAACACAAAGACTACAACAGACTACGCTAATGTTACTATAACTTTTGATCCTCCACCTGCCTACACAACCTTACCACCAGCTGTACCAGAAAACTCTGCTAATAAAGAAATAATATTGAGTGCTTGGGTTGTTTTTGCTTTTGGTTTAGCGGGAATTATTGGAGGATTAGGATTAGTTGTATTGTAAAAAGATGTTGCGGTTTAGTTTATGTTGTAATATATTGTAGTTATTAAATTAGTTAAAAAAAATAATAATAAATCAGCGCCGAATATAATAGAATTGCATTCGAAATTTAATCTCATGTTCTCATTATGATGAGTGTGCATTAACCTATCCGAAAGCTACACCTCGATTTGTTATTCAATCATTTGATCCTCCATCTTCCAGCATAATCCATACCAATACAATAGACTCTGCGAATAAGGAAATCGTATCGAGTGCTTGATTTGTTTCCTGCTTTCGTTTTAGAGGGAGGGCCGAAAATAGTTAATTTATAATGACTGTAATTATGTTCCTTGAGATTTTCTATTTAGAATAAACGTCAATGTGACTTTATATTACACCACATAAAACATACGAATTTGCTATTAATATATACGCCCCCGGACGTAATCAGGATTATCCACATGTTACACAACTTCTTGGAAATAGTCTAACAATAATTGTTCGATTTATCACAGCATATATATGCTAGATGTTGTCCCTTATTCACGACCAAACATTGTTTTTATCCCGTCTCGAGAATAAAAAAATCCACCAATTACAAGTGTATCGCTTGTAATGCCCCAGTTTGTTATTGATAATAACAACTCTTCTCAATATTCTATCTATCCAATCACTTGATGGTGATATGGAATCTTTAACTGGTAATAGGCGACCCAGCGAACCTATTACTATTAACATACTTAAGAAAACAACTGCTTTATTCTTAATCTATGTCTACTTGCTTATCTGGGTTGGATGTGTGTACAACTAAGTTATGATGAAAGAACGCTCATTTACTCAAGAAATAATAATGAAGGAATTTCACCCGCCGGTATATCTATTGATTAGAAAAAATATAGGCAATTTAGCAAGTAATTTCTCATAATAAATATTATATTCTACAAGTAAAGCTAACAGCAGTATCTCATTATAGATATTATATTTGCTTCTATTTACAACTTTACTGTTACATGTTCGCTAATACAATATGGTATGTGACACCTTTGCTAGAATTAAATTGATTCTTTGGTTAATATAAACACCCAATTTTTATCTAGATGGACAAGTTTCAAAGTCTGAATGTCAACCTTACCTAAATTCAATTGCTTTTGATCTCACTACCCAAACGTATATAATAAAATTTGTTGCAAGGGACTTTAAATTTATCGATCCTGTTAGTCATCCCTTCAACAGAAGCGTTGTACGCAAAGTCGATTTTGAGTTTTCTATAAATGATGCAGTTTATCCTGCTGGCGGGGATGCTCAGATGTGGGCAAT